GCGATGGAGCAGCTGGGGACTTTAGATCCAGAGAGGGAGAGCGACTGTGTACTGAAGACCTGGGGAGTACAGGGGAAGGATTGCATGGAGGCGATTGTAACCATGGCAATGAGCCAATAGACGATAGAATGAATGTAAAACTAATGTTCTCCCATGTAAACTATCACATAATTCACAATAAAACATTTAAGAAAAAAAAAAAAATGTTTTCAGTTGAAAAAAAAAAAAAGGTCCTGGTTTCCTGGTTTTTCTTTTCTCGTAAGTTTACCAGGAGAGTTAGTGATACCTTATCTTACTGAATTCCTGACTTGTGTGCTTAGACTAGTGTGAATTTCTTTCTTTTGCCTTGAAAACTGACCACCAATGGAGTTACCCAGTATCAGTAAAGTCTGTTGCATATGTAGGAATTTATAAAAGTGGCATTTCACAAGAAAGTTACTTAAAATCTGAATTTTAGAGATTTTTCTCTTACTTTACATAAAGTGTAACTGCAGGGAAGAAATAATGCTTGTTTATATATGCAGGTATGCTTCTGCGACCATAAAACTGTTCATTAGTTCTTAATTGTCACCATTTTGCATCGGAATGTACTTGTATACCTCAGACTTATCAGAACTCTTATTTTCCACAGATTACCCAGAGACGTGACTTTGGCAGTGTTTTCTGTGGGGGCCCAGAACACTGAAGGCTGGGAATTTCTTTATAGTAAATATCAGTCTTCTTTGTCCAGTACCGAGAAACGCCAAATTGAATTTGCCCTATGTAGAAGCCAAAATAAGGAAAAGCTTCAGTGGTGAGTAATTCATTCATGTTCATATGACCAGGGGAAATTAAATTACATCAGATCATTCTGGCATCTGTTTTAGTTCTCTTGGACAGGATTATCTATTCTGCTGGAGACAGTTATACCAGTGGACTCACACTGAATGGGTGTGACATAATTAGGGAGGACTATGGGTTAGGGAGAGAGTAGCACTAATGGTTTACTGTTAACTACTAATCAAAAGGTTGGTGATTGGAATCTGCCTAGGAGCCCTGGTAGCATGTAGATTACCAGCTGGGCTACTACCTATAAGGGCAGCAGTCCAAATCTACCAGCTACTCCGTGGGAGAAAGCTGAGGCTTTCTGTTTCTGTAAAGGTTTGCAATCTCGGATACCCTATACAGGGTCACTATGAGTCAGAACTGACTCAACAACACATAACCAGAGGACCTCAGAAGGAAAGGCTGGAAAATTACTTCCAAAAAATCACCACCATTGAAAACACAATAAATCCCAGTTCTATTCTGAAACATATGGAGTCATCATGAGCCACTGATTGGGTGGTAACCAGTCCTGGTTTGGCGCTGTGGAGGATAATGCACTGGACTGCAAGATTGGTTTGAACCGCAAACTAGATGGTTCAAATTCACCAGCAGTTCCTTGGAACCCAATACAGGGTCACTAAGGAGCTCTGGTAGCACAATGGTTATAAATTGGGCTGCGAACCTCAAGGTCAGCAATTTGAAACTACCAGCTGTTCCACGGGCAAAAGATGCGGCTTTCTGTTCCCATAAAGATTTACAGCCTCAGAAACCCTGTACAGGGTCACTATGGGCCAGAGCCGACTCCACGGCACACAACCACCACCACCACCATGAATCAGAACTGATTTTAAGGCATTTAACAAGTCCTGGTGTGGTGCTGTGGGATAATGCACTAGATTGCAATGTTGATTTGAACTGCAGAGTTGGTGGTTCAAACTCACCAGCTGCTCCTTGGAAACTCTATACAGGGTCTCTATGAGTTGGAACCGACTTGATGGCACTTAACA